AATACTTCTACAATTTTTCTTTCCCGTCAGATTTGCAAAACGTTGTTGTTAATACATAAGCCGTAGAATTTTTGGTTGGTCGAAGCTTATTTTTTATGTTATCGGATTAACTTGTTGTTGGAATAAGAGTAAATTCAGGATCTATAGTATGTTAGCTCTGCTTTTTAGTTTTCTCGTAAGTACCCGTGTTTTGAATATGGTAGATGAAAAGTAAATATTTTTGAGTTTTGATTTTTCAATATTTGAGAGAAAGTATAAATTCTTTCACGAAGATCGAAAACTCGTAAACCATTTATGATAAAATTTTATGTTTTAAAATGCCAATATTAAATTTTTGACAACGTACTTTATTTTGCATAGTTAAAGGACTAAAAGAAAATTTTCGCTGAAATATACTGCGTTCCTTTTATGAAATTTAAATCTTCAGAGTACTTCTTCATATAAAACAAAATAGTTATTTTAAGTAAGTTTTTCATTTATTCAGAAATCTTTTTCAAGTGCTTCTGTTTAATATAAGTTTCATTTTTGTGTTAGAGCTAGAAAACATTTTTTTTTTTAAATTTTCACTGCTGGAGAATTAGAGTAACAAACGATGTACAGCATTTGTGTTGCTTATGTTAAAACGACACACTACTTTTAGGTGACATATGCTAGTACATTATATTCAGGTTTCAAATTCGAGAGCAATAATATCCTGCATAATACATATCATAATATTCTTTTAATTATCCTTAATATATATATACGCGTACATTCTATAGAACGTATAGTGTCTATACGTATAGTCTATACATATGTCTATACGTACGTTTATAAGTACACGTCTATACATATAGTCTATGCAACGTATAGTGTCTATACGCAGCGTATAGTATGTAGTAAATGATAACAGAGATTTGTACTTGGTAATAACAGAGATAGAGGAATTTAGAGCCTCTATATCTCTGTTACTAACAAATGGCCATCTCCATTCCAGTCCTATTATACGCTAAACAGGGAAAACGTTTTACTTTTTTTTCCGTTTCCAAAACTTTATCCACTCCTATATTATTTGCCCAAAGATTTTTTCATACATTTTATACACTGAAAAATAAATTCATTAACATCTTTTTATTTTGAAATTTAATAGCTTTCCCTTCACATTTTTAAGCCATATACTATCAGGTTTTTTCCAAATAAATATATTTTAAAATGTTTTTCTAATTTACTTTTCTATTTTCATACTTGTTTAAATTATTTATCTTTACGAAATTAATGTTCATTCGACTTCCAATTTGAACACCACATTTTGATTTTTGAAACTTAAAATTATTGCAACTCCATTCAGTTCTAGCATTGTATTTTATGTTTCTTTTTCTGTAGCTTCACAACTGCAACTAAAATCTATTCTGAGACAATTCTCAAGAGTTACACCTTTGGATTAAACCACATGTTTCTGGCAACTATGTACACTATTTTCCCCTTCAAATTTCACTTTTCTTTTCAAATTAATTTATTTAAATTGAATATTTCATTGTCATTTTTCTCAGTTTCCAACGTATTATATTTAAGGCATATAACTTTCCTTTCAAAACAGTTGCCTTTTATTTATAAAATTTTTTAGCTGTTCTGCTTTTTCATTTGTTTAAAATTTACGTAATATTTATTTAACACAGTGCTGTTAAGTTTTATTTGCTTAGCACATTGCTCTTGATTTTTTCCCCGGAGCAAAAGTTTTTTATGTTTATATATATAAAATACATTTCTTTAGATTTATTTGCCAAAACATTTATTAAATTACTTATTAATTTTGCAAATTGCTGACAGATTACTTTTGATTTAACAATTTTTTCCGGTTTTTAACTCAAGATTTTTTTGATCATGTTAGAGCAAATTATATCTTGATGGCTAATAAATTTCACGTTTTTTAGAAATTTACTTTGTTGCAGATATAAAACACTTTAATTATCTTAATTTTAACTCAGTTTTCTTTATTGGCATTTTCTATAACTTTTAAGTATATTCATTTTGAAAAATGGATATATTTCAATTTGATATATAAAGTGATATTCCAAACATGTATCTATTTGAAATTGACAGAGAATGAATTATGAAAGTAATTTGTCCAAATTAAGTTTGGAATATCCATAATCATTACTCCATCCATTACTTATTTTTGAATTAAGTTTTATAACGTAACAAATATTCATTATTATAAATTGCATTTTAATAATTTTTCATACTATTACTGAAATCATAGTATTATTGCTGTTATTATATTTCTATTTTTTTTATTTTACACAAAACTGGAAGACCCTACAGCTTTCTGCAGATACAAACATATCCACCAGTTTGTGCAAATCCACATTAACTAATTGATGTAATAATTCACAAGTGTTTAAGCGAGTGATCTGGTAGTAACATACAAAGGAACCCTTTCCTTATAAATGCAAGTGGCCTTTTTTAACTGCTTTAACTATTCCATTATATTAAAAAAGATTTAAACCTTATTCCATTACATATAAAAATCTTAATAAAAATTATGTATGAAATACCTAATATTTTTTATGAGGTGGGAGCCTTTAAAATTTATCTTGACATATTCAAATTTTGCATAAAATCATTCCTCAGTTTTTAACATTATTTACCATATTTTGTACAAATTTTTTAATCTTATTTCATTTACTTTATATGTTCTTATCATTCTCAAAATAACTGCAAAATTCATAGAACTAATTCAAATTTTTAAACTAACACAAATTTTTAATTATTACCATAGTATTTGTTAATAACCTTCCCTAAATAAAATAATTTTAAAATCTTAAAATTGGTTACTTGCTTTATAATATCATATTATTAAAATTCAAATTTCTGATACCGTAAAATTTTAATCTCATATTCTCATAAAATATTGTAACATTTCTAAAATCTAATTTAGTAAGGAAAACATCATTACATATTTAATTCAGAATTATAATAATTAATTAATATATTGCTAACTTCATATTAATTAAAAAATTAAAATATGCATTATTGGCAAAATAATGAAATTAAGCGTAATCACGAAATTTATCAACGCAAAATCTTTTAAAGAAAATATTAAATTATTAAGCTTTATTTCTATCAACGATAATTTTTTATGCTTTTAAATTTTGCTTTAAATTTGTTTTTTTATTTCTGAATTGTGTATCACGAGCGTAAATATAATTTCAAGAAATTATATTGAAAGAAAATAATTATCGATCTGTATTATAGGCAAACATCATCTGTTAACCTTAAATCAAAATATCGAAGTGGATGGATACCGCTTTGAACAAGCAGTTGAAAGCACTTTTATGTAAACAGCCGATATCTTACGACTTTGAAATCGATACTAATGTTAGATATCTAACAGCATTTGTAAAGTCGTTTAAAATTTTTTCGATTCCAGGAAAGTGAAGAAATCCGCCGTTAAACGATTCGAACTCTGGACCTCTCGAATACGCTTAGAGAGTGCTTTGAGTTACACCACAAAAACAGGCCGAAAGAAGGGACAAATCTCCCCGTATACTCCCCTTTTTAAAAGGCGATTGGGGGTTAGGTTACCCAGTCGTTAAATTATAATGGTGACGAATTATACACCATTCCATTGACGGAAGACGCGAGCACTGTAAGCGAATTATACACCACCACCTTTTATATTGAGCGCCTGTTGTAGTGATAATATTTTTTTTTTACTATCAAGAAACTGAAGAAATCCTCAGTTTACTTCGCCAGTCATTTGCTAAATTACGATAATATTTATAACATAAGTATCGGAATACAGTATAACTTCAAAATAATAAATACGATGACGACATATCCTTAAATTGCAAGAATGATATTTCGTACATTTCGTAATCTTCCTTAATTGGGAACAAATACAGTTAATAATTTTGAATAAAAATTAGGTATATTAAACGATTTGATTTCTCACATGATACCCAGGTCGATTCAGCTCCCGGATACCAAAATCTAAATTTCTTATTTGCCTTTTGGATGACCATGCCTTTCTTTCTACACTGGTCATCACGAATAAAGGATAATAACAATATCCAAGCCTGTCGTCTCAGCTTCATTGAACATGACAACAGCACAGTTGTAACGGTCCCCACTGGATGTTGGTGCAAGTGAGGCACAGGTCATTGATTTTTTTCGCATGCAGTCTAACCTCGTTAAGCTTTCGTGCAGCAGTAGAACGGCTAATTCGAATTTCCTGTCTGAAGGTACCCAATTCCCATGTAGTCCCTTCACGGTTTCTTGTAGCCAACAACGACAGAAAATGGTCTTCTGATGCAGTTGTTGCTCTTGCTGGCCCTTGACCAAGCTGTCTATCAACTGATTAGTGCTTAAAAGTTACTGATTAGTGCAAACTCCTGCTATATGACACAGACTATTGAGATATATTGAAGAGTCTTGTGCGAACTCCATTTGAGTTTGAGCTCTCTCTATTCTACAGTTATTCACTACTTTTGTCTTTCACTTAAATGATGCCTTTGGGCCATAACTACTGAATACTATTCACTCCCAGAAACCACATTCACTTTAAACCATAGTGAATGTGATTTCCGATATCGTTTTATTGCTATTATACATAGCATCATATTATCTGATACAGTTTTATTGCTACAGACCGAAATTCCAACATACGTCGATTGCGCACCACATTGTCAGTTACCGAAATTGCAAATTTCCGGCGCTAACGTACGCGCGGAGTGCAATTTTGTGTTCAATTGTATTTAGTTAACATAAATAATTTAAGTATTGGGCATTGGTTGCAACATTAATCATATTTTTTCTCATTATACTTTAATTTTGATGATCAGTGTATTTAGCTGTAACATCACAGTATGCACCTATTATTTACAAAATAATACAATTTCAGTTCTATTTAACTAGCAGTTACTATTATAGAAATTATGAATGAGATTATTTTATGTATTAAATTATGTAATGAATTACCAAGACTCACCTGTAAGAAAGTTTGGCGGCACTCTTTTCAGAACCTCCGAATCCAGTATACAACTGTTCTGTCACTGATCAAATGGATCGCTCTATAAAAATCCTTTGCAACGCATCTACTGAAGACAGTGCAGGACTTATGGAGTACTTCTACATTGAAATCACATCGAGCGGGGAACTTCTGCAGAACTTCAGCTCCGATATTCCTGAGTTCACAGTAAAAGGACTAAACCCGGGAACGACGTATTCAGCTTTCATTTATGTCAGCAATGACGCCGGTAGGAGCAAACCTGTGATCATTGAAGTCCAAACAAATGTTTCACAAAATATCTCGACAGTTGAAGGTAAATATTACTAGAAAGAAATATTTTATGCATGCATGTATCTATACGCTTTTTTTTCTGAAAAATGCGCAACATATTTCTTCTGCTGTAGTGTGTTCTTAAACAGGTATGTTTATATTTTCCGTGGTGATGTAATGATATTAGTAAAAGCAATTGGGCTCAAGTGAAACTGTTAAATGTTATATTATGGGTAAAGTTATGCTGCATATGTAATATAATAATCATCTTCGCTTGCTAGAATATATCCAGACAGCTATATAAAAAGAAGTTTCAAAAGCTATATAGAATATTGTAGTATTTCCCACATTCAACGTCTTCTAACATTTTATCTTTTATATGCTTGTAAATAATTAGACATGTTAAACAAACAGTACCTCTAACGTACCCCTTCAAACCCTATGACCCTCCATTCCCCTCTCCAGTACACCCGCAATATATTTTACTACTTTATTTTTATACCATATTTTTAATAAACAGCAAATAATCAAGTTAAAAAAATATAATCACTAAGTTGTTACTTGTCAGAGAATGATAATCTTTTAGCATGCTAAAGAACATTTCATTGAAAGCATATGGAATTCAGTTGTTCATCTCACTTCGCTTTGGAACGTATTCTTTAAACAACCCTGGACTCTCTTTAAGAGGGTTATTATATGCTCTTTGATATAATTTTTCAATTGAAGATCATTTTCTGATAAAAAAGATGTAAAATGTCTCAAATGTATTTTTTTAGTGCATAGTTTCCCCAAATTTAACATTTTGATAATGGTATTAATTCTTTCATCCAATTTGGAAACCGTTAAGGAACTAACTGTTCTGTAAATTGAATTTATTTATTTAATTAGATTAAATTGGGTTTATTTAGTTTTGATAAAATACATTAGATATCTATGCTTGCCTTTGAAGACACTTATCATTTTGAAATTTGAAGATTAATTGAAATGAGTAGTCTTCAAAAATGTGCATGGTGTAGACGCCAAATCGAAGCTTATTATCCGAGGTAGTTTCAGTTCAGTTCGAAGATCTATTGATAAACGCATATAGCTTGTATAAGAGTTTAACGATGCACATGACTGTGTTATTAATGTGACTTATTTTATGCAGGGAAGCATGTATTCTACCTACAGTTTCCAGCCTTTTAAGAAAAATAAAATGTAATATTTTTTTTAGAATATAAGATTATTTTTTTTCAAATTACCCTCTAAAAACCATACCTGTCTTATAAATACTACCAAGAATTTAAACAATATGCTATTATAACTCATTTCTACGCAACTTTCATGCTATGAGGAAGCACATTTATTTACAAGAAATGTTTACCAATCTTGAAATTTCCAGACTGGTTTGAGAGAACTACTACTTATTCCGTACGTTCAAAATGAATGATGTCAGTTAAAATAGCTGTTAAACTCCCATACATGATCCAAAAAAAAAAAATATTACTCCTGAAATTTTTATTTCCAAAAGAAAACTTTTTGGAAAATTTGAAAGCATTTTAAAATTTTGTAAAGACATAAAAGCAGAGCTGCGCCATCAAGTACACATGCATGTTTTCAACCTTCAGTTAGCATCAGGTTTGCAGCTAACTTTTTAATATTGTATATTTCTGAATAAGCAAATCGTTTGTAATTATTGTGCGTTTATGAAATTTTGATCCAATTCAAAATATGCTAATTGATGTTTTGTTAAAATTATTGCTCCAATATTTTATAAAATTTGCAACTTTAAAATAAAATAATAAAGCTGTTTGCGCTTTTTTAAGGCGTCTGAAACAAAAATCGCAACTTTTCACTATCTTCGGTACGTTAATTCAACTGGATATATGTAACTGTTATAACAGATTATTATTGTTTCCGTCATTTACTTTGCCACATATATGCTAAACATTTAATTCATGATCAGGGTATTGATAGTTACAGTCGAAAAATATTAAATGCATTTTATGGTAGGGTAAAGTGTAGTAAGTAGATAAGGTGAAGTAGTGTGTAGGTAAGTGTACAAAGTGTAGTAGGTAGGGTAAAGTTGCATACGCTACATATTTCACAAAATTTCAGTATCTATATTTAATAAAGATCTATAGTTGATAATATATACCTGGACATAGAAAACTGCCTGACGCCACGGTTGAATGAAATTCGTGATAATAACCTCTTTAAGGACAGATGTCCGTCTCACTAACAGAGACTATCACCGAGATCACTTGCGAAAGTATCTCAGTCTAAATCTCCCACAAATGTAAAGACTACTTGTGGAAGTTTCTCAACTAAATCTTGTTGCTGTTGCGACTTATTTCACATGTCTGACAGTAATATCAGAACAAGTCCACAAAAGCATCGTGGCAAAGAATGTAAGATTGCGCCTGTCGTTGACAGCAGATTTGAGCACCATACAAATGACACTTCGACTTTGTTCAGTTCCACCCCAATTTTGAAGATGAGTAATCCAGGGGCGGCTCCGAAGAACTCCCACACCTCTTTTCTTACCACCAACATCTCTAAAGGTCTTTCGGCTGTCCGCTAATTTAGAATGCCAAGATGCCGTACAGACACTATACATTTACGACCGTCCATGTTTCTTCCGAGATTCGAACCCGGGCCTTTCAGCACGGCAATCAGCGTCGCTGACCACTATCTGGAATGGGCGGCGCCAAATCTTGCGACTGAGGGACGACGACATGCTGGCTTAATGCTTTAATTCTGTGACAACAGGAATTTTTGGTTTAAATACCATGTATTCCTTTTTCGGCAGGAGAACAATTTATCAAAGGTAATATCTGTGTCTCTGCACTCTCTCTTTCCACCTCCAAGATTTTTCACAATGGCGTCAACGGTGTTGTGGCTGTAGTTGATGACTATATACTCTCATGTTACGCGAGACGAAATCATTTATTCTTGGACCGACCACTTCGTCTGTGGGCTCTGATCATCTAGGAAATATGCTTATGCTATGTGACATTATCAAAGATAATATCTTTATACCTCCACTCTCTCTCTACTTTCAAGATTTTCGCAATGGTGTTAACGATGTTGTGGCTGTAGTTGATGACTAGATAACCTCTTATACGCTCGACGAAATCGTTCATTGTTGGAATGACCACTTGGTCTGTGGACTCTGATCATCTAGGAAATATGCTTATGTTATACGAAATTATCAAAGATAATATCTTTGTGTCTCCACTCTCTTTCTCTACTTCCAAGAATTTTACAGTTGTATCAACGATGTTGTGGCTGTAGTTGATGACTACATACTCTCATGTACGCGGGGCAAAATGATTTGTTGTTAGAATGACAACTTCGTCATTGAACTTTGATCATCTAGGAAATATACTTAAGAAATGTTTCAGTTTCCTTCTTTTCCAGTCAATAAAATATGGTATATGTTATGTGATTTTTTTCATCGAGTTCTAAATGAAACCTATGTATATAAATTAAACTCATACGTGGATAGAAGCATGTAAATATAGGTTTTTCACATGCCTATTCATTTATTATTTTTAAATTTTCATCTTGAGAATCGACCATCTGGAATGTGAAAAATTGCAATTTGAAATTCTAAAAAACCGCAAATAATGCTGCATCGCAAATATCTTTATAGTTCACCAAAAAATTCGTAAAATGGTTGTTAGATCTATAGACGCGGGACTGTATAAGAAACTTTCTGGAAAAAAAAAATATTCTTGTCAGAAATGCAAGCGAATTCTCAGAAATATAATACAAGTATGCTAACACATAATCTTTCTATGATTGGTTGCTGTCTTTTCTAATTTACGCGAAAGGTAACTGCCGACTTAATGTTAATAATTGTTTCCCAACGTAGTAAAATGTTGCAACTGTGTACGCGAAATCAATTGCTGAACGCAAATGTTGAGGCTAGAAAACTTTCTTATTGCGCCTTGCGTCGCTGCATGTAATAAGGCTATAACATAATCTCTAATGTTTATATTCGAGAATTTTTATAAACACCTGCCAAAAAAATAAAATTTGTTTCTCCTGAAAAACTTTGAAGTATTTAAACAAAAGAAAGGAAAATTTGGAAATCCACTTAAAATGTTATATTTTAAAGAGAATTTTAAACTTCTGTCCTTTATTTTTTACTTCTTATAACGCATCACATTTCATCTTTTGTTTGGTGTATGTAGGTTTTTCAGCAAGTAAACTAAATTCATATACAAATACAAAAAGTTGTTTCATACTCAATACTTTCGACTTGTTGAGTAAAAATGAGTTTACAGACAAGAACAGTCATATTTCACGTTCCCTTTTGTTGCTGTAACAGGTTATCAAAAAGAAAGTCTCTATTTGTACAGTATTGTGTTGGCAAAAAAATTCATAACAGTCTCTGTTTTCAAGGTGAATGTGTATAAACAACATGGACAGAATTAAAAAAATCATTATTAATTTATAAAATAACAGTTGTAATGTAAAAACAGTACCTTGCAGGGATTTCAGAAAATTTCATAGCAAATATTATTGTTATAGGTGCAGAAAAATAATAATTTATGACATTAAGAATTTTAGGGAGCCCTTTACATTGGTTTAAAACAGGGAAAGGCAATAGAAAGGCTAATATAGATGCATTTGCATAATATGCAGTTCATAAACGACCTTTAAATGCAATGATAAATTAAAAATTTTCTATAAATTAAGTAGATAATGTTTGGAACAAAAAGAAGATTGAAAGTGCAGGAAATTACGAAAAAAATTACTTTACGCGAGTCCAACGGATCTAATTGCCTAATATGTGTGAGAAAAGTTTCCTAAAGAGAAGATGGTATGTTTTAATATGGAAGCGAATTCAGAAAACAAATATTTTTAGTAAATATTCTGGTAACACTTTCTTGGTTTCGAATTTAAACTGGGAGCATTATATAACTTTACATTACATCAATGTATTTAAGAATAACTTAATTTAAAGAAGAAACGGATTACTTATATATGCCTTAGATATGGATTGATGCATTTGATTTTAGCCGTCAATACGATATCAAGAACATTCAATAA